TTGGAACACCACCAGGGTCAGTCACAACAACAGAGAAATAACTCCACAATAGCATTATAAGCTGCACACAAAACAACAATCATGAAAAAATAAGCCCTTTGCTTCTTTTTTTACTCTTTCTTCTGAGAGTTCAAATGTTGATAATCTCTAACAAGACATGAGAAATGAACAGCTTCAAAAACACAGACACACTACACTTAACCAAATTACAAAAAGATAACTACTTGATTGCTTACTTAGCTTCTAGTATCTCATCTAGCTGGTTTCCTAATTCAATTGCAATCTCCATTACAACTAGTGAAAGATACTATAACTGATACATAAATGTGAATCCACACACCAACCAAGCCAAGCTTCAAACTAGTGCAACAAAGCAACAAGCTTTGACTCAATTCAAGTTGAAACTGGTGTATCTAAAAGAACCCAAAAGATATTCAAATCGTAAGAAACTAAGGCATAATCCAAACCAGCTTATCATGTAATGAGCAGAGATCTAGAGGGTCTAAACGCAAAGATCTCAAAAGGGTCAGAAAAAGATTCAAAATTTAAGATTGACCTAGAAGAAAGAATTGAGTTTACCAGAAAGTGAAACAACGCTAAAACGAGAAGAGCTAGTAATGAATCGACACCACCGATCAATAGAGCTGGTCCGTAATTCACGACGACAACGGCGTAGTATGTGAATCCGATGATCCCGATAACAATTAAGATCATGATCGAACCCAAGGCGCGAAGTGCTGTGCAGAACTTGAACACGTTCCACGCCATTGTCGGAATTCTTTCAAAAACCCAGAATTTCTTGGTCGGAGAAAAAATTGAAGCGAAACCCAATTGAATTGAAGAAGAAATTTTATAAATTTCGATGAAATCGAGCTGAATAATTTATAGTTTTCATGGATAATTTTCCTTTTTTTATTATTATTATAATAAGTTAATAAGTCCTAAACTCCTAATCTTGTCGATGCCTGGATAAAGAAACGATTAATTGTGCTAATTTTAAGAATTGGAGATTTTTTTTTTTTTAAGAATTACAAAATTGAAATCAACCCATACGGTAACTAGTAATTACACGCATGGTAATTGGTAAATTAAATCATTCAAGTGAAGAAATATTTTTTTTTTCTTTGAATGCTTTTTCGTCACATTATTACAGAACTACTTATAGTTACAACAACGTAGAATTATATAATCAGTTAATCACGCATGTTAATATGAAATTTAATTATTTTCACAACACAACCCACTTAACTATGGATCATTATTGTTTGCTTTTGCTAATCTCATTTTCAGCCAATGAGGATTAAAGTCAAAATCTTCGGACACATTAGGCTGAAAAAGCGTAAAAGCATAATAGTAGCAATTTTATTAGCAAAAAAAAAAAAAAAAAATAGTAGCAATTTATTCTATTTTTTTTGTTTATCATCCATTTTTTTTTCTTATATCAACAACAACAACAAAAACGTTTTTTCCACATTTTTACTCTTTCTTCTCCAATCAAACCCTTAATCTTATCAATGAATTGAAAGTTTCAACCCTGTTCGAATTTATTACTAATCGTATTTGGTTCCTCCCTTCTCTTCAGCTTCCTCTTTAATCTACAACGTATAAGATAAACCACATAAACAAACTAATTTATGGATAGGGTCACATATCATATATGAAGCTAATAATCTGAAGTTTTAAATATTAACCTGTTGATGAAGAAGCTTCTTATGGATTCGATAGCCCTAATGACAGAAAAAAATATAACAACAACATTGGTCAATGTTTAAATCCAGAATTATATAGTTTAAACGCTAACGGACATTGAAGTTTGATTAACTAACACTCACTTTGTCAGTTCCATAAATGTAATCGCAGTAAGTGAAAACTGAAGCAAAGTTGCTTTGGCTTTGTCCTCCAACGTAGTGATGGTAGTCATGATACTCAGCTCCACCGTAAAAAGGAATAAATTTTGTCAGACTCCATGGAAAATCATATCTGCAAACAAAATCAATAAGTGCGTTTTCTTTTTTGTTTGATAAAAACCACATTTCATATGTAAATATTTATGCTTTTGTTTGTTTTTTTCGCGTTTTGCATTTGTAATAGCAATTTTCGAATGGTATCCGCTTAAAACACTTAAACTTGTTTGTATATATGTAAATGTAACCGCTAATTTTACCCGCTGTGAGTCTCAATCGCTTCGATTTGGCGTAAAGATATCCATAACCAAAATGTCATTATGTGTCCAGGAGCGATAGCCGGTCCAAGAAACGTCGGAATTCCTAGAATCAAGATTTCGCCCCAATGTGCGTACGGCGACGCATATCCGATAGGAGATGTGTACTCGTGATGGATGCGATGAATCTTCTCATACCCCCATTTGCAATGCATCCATCTATGGATCCAGTAGTTAGTGTAATCTTCTATCAAGAAGTAAACCACTAATTGTGCTACGATCTCCGTTAACGATGGTAATGGCAAACCACTTCGAATCCCAATCATCTGTCAATCAACACATATATAATCTCCCTTTTTAGTATATTTCAAGAACATCACAAATTAACAAAAAGTGTTGCAAGAAGAAAAAAAAAAAAAACTCGAAAAAGGGAATATACATGTATACAATAATATAACGTTTTAATTTACAATTTTAAATGGGAATTTGGTCTAAATAACCAAAAAAAAAAAAACAGCAAAAAATTGTATAACAACCACACACACACACACAAAATGTTGCAAAACTAACACTTAAAATAGGGGAATATACATATATAATAAAATATTTGGTTGTTTGTTTTAAAGAATAAACGAAAATATAAAATGAATAATAATAACCTGGATGGAAGGATAAGAGACGATTTGCAATGTGCCGACGACGAGAAGGAACAACTTCATGACTTGTTTATAACATCGGAACATATCAGACAAAGAATACTTAACCTTCTTTTGAATCTTAAACTGATCGAACCAACCGGTCCATTCCACAACCACGAGAGGGAAAGGAGCTAGTGAAAAGACAAGGAAGAGAAGCAAAATGGTGTGGCAATATACATGGAAATTGGATTTGGTGGCTGAGTAATCGAACCAAACCGTCTCAAACCAAGTCAGGTTTCGTCCTAATGCCAAGGACGCCTCTTCAACGGTTGGATAAGGGATCATATTGTGAGACTCTTGTGTGTGTCTGGATTAATTTGTGTGGTTTATGTTATAGCATTGTTTTTGAAGTTATAAGACTCATAACGTGGCTTGAATGTGTTTTGATAAATGTATATGAGTAATTGAGTATGCGTGGAAAATTATGTAAAAATACATAAATGTCGAAACATGGTACCGACTTAATTATTTCGGTGATTTCTTTTTTCTGATTTTTCCAAATTTTGGTAAATTTTTCCCTTTGAGAAGTCCGCCAAATTGGGTCCTCAATCTTTCTGTTTTTAACTTTTTAGTAGAACACAAAAAACATATCTTATCTCTTTACGTCTATATTTGATATGCAGGGTCACAAAATTTTTATATAATATAAAAATTAAAAGTTACTAAGGTTGTTATTTTTTAGGTCATTAGTTATTTAGGTTGGATGATATTCTAAAATGGTATTTTCAAAAATATTTATTACAAATCTCATTTGATAGACCTATTATCGGAAGTAATTTTATTTTTAGCAAATGATTTTGAATAGCCTTTCTTCATTATTTTCTGAAAATCTACGAAACGAAATAATCTTTCTTTTGTTGGCGAACAGTGATTCATACGTCAAGAAAAGAAAAACTCGTTGACACACAAAATATGAGTGGACAAACTTAATTTTAGCTCATTAAAACTCTTTCTTGAATTAATTAGTTTAAAGAGTATAAATAAACTCATTGAAGTAGTTTACAATATAGCCTCACAGAGCTAGCTACTACCCCATGCTTGAAGTTATTTATTATCACGTGTTGAATAATAGTATTTGATTTAGATTCCAGCACAAAATTTTCAAATTCTAGCATATTCACTGTGTCCATGGTAAAATCTAAGACGACGAGAACAAGAAAATGTGTGTTGTTAGGTTTAGTTGAGATTTTTCAATTTTGAAGTCAGAAGGTGGTATAGAAGGAAAGAGCAACATTCAAATCAATTGTCAATCCCTATAATTTCTCCTATCATTACTACTAAAATATTCTCTTGTAATTAATTAATATTCTGTCCATCTTGTGTATATATGTCCTATGTATATTGAAGAAGATATGAGAGGCAATACATAATTCTTCCAATCTCTGTCTCTCATCACATTATCAGGTGGTTGGTAACAACTAAACAAGTTATTGTACCTACTACTACTACTTAAATGATTGCTACTTAAAACTGTTTTCAAGTTTGGTGAGAAAGCTTTAGTAAATGCGCGTGTTTCGCTTGTTTTGGCCTTCTTTGATTAGATTTCTAAAGTCAATTCAGCACCCATCAATGCAACTATAGGATATGGTTATTGGTTAAGATTGCGATGCGTTGCAGCAGTGAGTAAAAAAATCTCTGACATAGCTCCAAAAATAGGTGAAAAGAAATGCGCCCACCGTGGGGCTCGAACCCACGACCACAAGGTTAAGAGCCTTGCGCTCTACCAACTGAGCTAGACGGGCCTTGTTGATAATGATAAATGCTTAACTTATACTCCCTCCGTATTTTAATAAGTGTCGTTTTAGGATTTTTTTTTTTTAAAAATTAGATGTCTTTTTCAAATTTCAATGCAAAATTTCTTACTTTTTAATGTTTTATGATGTCATAAAACATTAAAAAGTAATAAATTTTGCATAGAAATTTGAAAACGACATCCAATTCAAAAAAATAAAAATTCTAAAACGACAATTATTAAAATACGGAGGGAGTAGTTGATAATGTTAAATGCTTAACTTATAGTATCAGAAAATGAACTTGTTAAAATAAGCAAACGAATGTATACATTTAAAATCCTCTAAATAAAACTCATTAAATGCCATAAGGAGCATTTTCATGTGACACAGGGAAGACCAGAAAAGAGAAAACTAACTACCGTTTCATTTGTAAGTCTTGACTAGATTAGTAGAATGCTTGAAGCTTACGGTACGTAAGCTGTGTCTGCTTCTGCTTCATTACCTTCTCGACACTTCAACCTCGCGAGGAGTTTTAGGTTTACTACTCGAATTTCTCTCCGCCATTAACCTGCTTGTTGCTCTTCTTGGACCCCTCCTTCATCTGAAACTCATAGATAGAACATCAAGAAATATATCATCAATATGATACTAGAGACCACATATATTGTTATGTGAGCTTGCAATTTTAGCTGCATTAATGGTTATGCCGAGAGATGAGCTAGTTCTCAGTTTTGAGAGTATTTATTTACCTGCTGAAGAAGCTTCTTCTGGAATCGGTAACCCTGATGAAAGAAAGATTATATTATAACACATTTTCAATGTTTTATCTAGAATTGGTAGACAACTAACAGGAAAGGAACTGAAGTTTCATTACTCACTTTATCAGTTCCATAGATGTAATCGCAGTAAGTAAACACTGAAGCAAAGTTGCTCTGGCTTTGTCCTCCAACGTAGTGATGGTAATCATGATACTCAGCTCCACCATAAAATGGAATGTATTTTGTCAGAGTCCATGGGAAATCATACCTTCAAAAGCATTAAAAAAAAAAACAAGTCAATTTATCTCCAGAGAAACAAGTTTCATGCACCAAGCACTCCATATTGCCCAAATACTTCTTTGATGCTTATCATCTGAAGGATTAACAAAGATTAACTAGCATGAGAATGTTGGCCACAAAAGATTAACTAAGCAGTCTCTAAACAATCACCAAAAGCTAATTAGGGTCTAGAAAGTATCAGAAAAGGCTAGTGCCTAACCTTAGCCCCACCAAAAAAGGTGAGCCACTATTGAAAGATTCCCACATAGCCCCAAGGCATTATAAACTAAACTAACGATGATAAAGTTGATAAGTTGCAGACATAAACAAATGAAAGAATTACTAAAAGCTATCTACATTCTACAAGAACGTCTTCCTTACCCGCTATGAGTTTCGATAGCCTCAATCTGTCGTAAAGCAATCCACAACCAAAACGTAATCATATGACCAGGAGCAATAGCCGGTCCAAGAAACGTCGGAATCCCGAGAAGCAAAACCTCAGCCCAATGAGCATAAGGAGCAGCATATCCAATAGGAGCTGTATACTCATGATGAATATGATGAAACTTCTCATAACCCCATTTACAATGAAAGAATCTATGAACCCAGTAATTTGTATAATCCTCTACCAAGAAGTAAACCACTAACTGAGCTACAATCTCCAAACATGATGGCAATGGCAATCCACTTCGTATCTCAATCATCTGTTTCAATCACCAACCACAAAGCATCAATTTCAAATTAAGAACAGTCTCTCTAGCCAAATTCCAGAGATTACGTACCTGAATCGAAGGATAAGAAACGAGTTGCAATGGACCAACGACGAGAAGGAACATCTTCATGACGGCTTTGTAACATTTGAACATATCGGAGAATGAGTTCTTCACTTTGGGTTGGATTTTGTAGCGATTGAACCAATATGAGGTAGATTGAGATAGTTCGATGAAGACGAGAGGGAGAGGTACGAGGGAGAAGATGAGGAAGAGGAAGAGAATGTTGTGGCAGTAGAGGTAGTAATCGGATTTGGTGGCGGAGTAATCGAACCAGAGAGTCTCCAGCCATGTGAGGTTTCGGCCTAACGCTAGGGATGCGTCTTCGACTGTGGCGTAAGGGATCATTGTTCCTTCCGGCGACGGCGACGGCAAGATTGAGATTGAGATCGAGAGAGTGGAGAAGAGAGAGTGTCGTCGTTGAGGCTGGATTTTGTCTGTTATAGACTGATCTGGCGAATATTCAGCGTGTTGACGTGGCATTATCGGTTTAGTAACAAATGTGTGTGAACCGGATTAAACCAAAAATCACTAACATTGTCTCAAGATCTCGACTACAACATAAAAAGGAAGGAAAAAATGGGGCTTACTAAAAAGCCCATTTGAAATGCGGCCTATTCAAGTACATATTAATAGTGAGGTGTTAATTTTAGCCCAATAAAACTACATCTAGAATATGATGTTTATTCCTTAGTTTTTTTTTTTTTTTAATTATTATTCCCATAGTTTATGTCTTGAATGTGAATTTTTAGATAAAATAATTGTTAACGAAACTTTAATTTTAGCTCTATAAAAGTGAACTAAATCCTTGTGTTATTTGTTTTTTATGACTTTATAAAACAAAACAAAATTTGCATAGAATAATAACTGATCGAAATTTATATATCTTCTCGGACTGAAGATCATAACATGGCATTGAAAAACTCGGAATTGATTTAGTTACCAAAACCAAAGTAAAGTTTCTCGGACTGAGGATCATAACACGGTGCTAAAAAATTTTAATCGAAATTCATACATCTTCTCGGACTGAGGATCATAACATGGTATAAACACCAACTCCATATCACATAGCCTTTTCTTTGTTTGTATTGGGTTTTCTTTTAATTGTCTAAATGGAACATACAATTATTATTATTTTCTTTTAGAAAGAAACTTTACTTTATACTTGGTCAAAAACCTTAAGATAAATCAGTATTTGAGGGAAAATTCACGGATATACACGGCTTTTGTGGAATATGTCTATGAATTTTAAGACAGCATTAAATTATTGTACTATACACATAGCAAAACGTTGAAATAAATTGAGGCTGTTGGCCAATTGTATTTAAGTAATAGAATGATTTTACATCACGAAACGTGACGTTACATGTGAAATTCTAAAGTCTTACAATTTTCGTCACGAATATAAATGATATTTGAATGTAATAAACTATCGTTGTTAATACTTGGTGGAAACAAGTGCGTTACGCGTGAAGATGAGTGCGTATGACATAAGAGAAAGTCGACTAGACCATTAATGACTTTAAAATCAAGCCCAAAAGTTCTTTCTTTTTAACAGTGAAAACAAACCTCGGACCAATCTCAGCCACACAAATACTCTTTTTTTATTTCTTGTTAAGTTATTTTCTTGACGTTGATAAATCTTGTTTTTGTTTATGATTTTATATTATTTCCATCACTCAGCACTTTCGTAAATATAAATGAATTGATACTAGCGTTTTCAAAAAAAAAAAAAAAAAAAAAAAAAAAAAAATGAATTGATACTAGTTGAATCTCCTCTCTCTATTTGTTTATGTTTTTTCATTTGTTTAATAAAAAAATACGTTTTTCATTTGTTTATGTGCTTCTCACTATCACCTTAGATTTTTTGTGTTTTACGAAATTTGTGTTTTGGGTTTCTCGTTTTCTTGTTTAACGTGTCAAATTTTCTACAAATCCTATAGTTTTGCTTCCTTTACACTTTATAGGATTGTGAGTCTCTCAAGTAATCTTCTGAAAATGCATCAAGAAATTTATATTAATTTGTACAAGTAAATTTTTCCAACACATTTTTTTTTTATCAATAAGTAAGGATCAGTGCTACAGTTTTTATCTAATACAATGCTACAATTCAACGCATTTATATTTAACTATAATAAACACAAATACGTAAGAATCAGCATAAGATATCATACTATATTAGAATATTGTCGACAGGAAAAATAAATATCATAGAACAAGAACCACGTCTATCCTTATACTATGACTACTATTTAACTTTAATCGTATTTTTTTGGTCGGCTTGAATAAAAATGCTAAAAACCCACAATACGTGAGAGAGAGAAGAAAAAAAGTTATTATTAGAAAAACATTTGAAAAATACAAATGAAAGAAAACAAGATAAAAGAGTAAAGCAAAGCAAAAGCAGAGAATAACTCTTATTCGCTTCTTTGCCAAGCAATCCACCAAAACCTCTCAATTTCTTTCTTCTTTCTCCTCCTCAAGCAAAGATCATCATCTCACGGAATGTCAGATTCAATTCACCGGAGAAAAGTTCCGACTCCGGTCGGAAATGGAGGCCGGAGCTCCAGGACAAGACGAACAGCTTTCCGATGTGTTTCCGACAAGAACAATCGCTCTAAATCGAGTAATAAGGTTTTTGAACGAAGTTTCTCAGAACCGAGTCTAAATCGCCGCCGCGATGGAGAGAGTAATCACTTACGGCGACCATCGCCGATGAGAGGTTTGACGATGGAAGAATCCGAACCGATCGTTTACTTGCCACGGATTCGCTCTGAGGTTTTCGCTTCATCTCCGTCGTTGTTGAACTTATCTTCACCGGCGTCTTTATCTCCGATCAATCAAGAGGTCAGAGTCGTTTTCTACTATTTTTTTCAAATCAACAAATTCATGATTTCAACTCTGTAAAAGAATTCAACATTTTTAGTCCACAAATATTTAAAAGTTTATATTTAAGCCTAATATTTTAAACTATCTCAATATAACCTTTAACTCAGCCCTTTGAACAAAGAGTTTTAGACTTTTAGTTCAACTGCAATTTCTAGAGTCAGTTTCAACCGTTCATGTTATCAGATTGTGAGAAATATGCCAAAACTTGGCCTTCCGAGTAAATTTCTAAAATCAGAGAAACTCATTTTTAAAACAAAATCAGGGTAATACAAAAGAAGCACCCAAAGTAGTAATCAGTGTAGCAGTAGAAGGAAGTCCTGGACCTGTAAGAGCAATGGTTAAATTGAGTTGCGACGTCGAGGAAACGATCAAGATTGTCGTGGACAAATACTGCAAAGAAGGACGAACTCCGAAACTCGATGGAGATTCTGCCTTTGAATTGCATCAGTCACATTTCAGTATCCAGTGTAAGATATAACACAACTCTATCCAATTTTCATTCTTTTGGATATAGAACCAGTTGTTTTCAGTTTGATGTATATTAGATTTGATTTAAATATCTATACTCTAGACTATCTAGTTTTGCTTTAATCTCCAACGGTTATGGAAAATATCAAAACCTACTCATGGATCATGTGAAACAAAGAAACATCACATACTTCATGAGTTTATAACTTATAATAAAAAAAATGGTGACTAAACATGATATTTTACCTCTCTTTTTGTCACATAATTAAATGGTTAGACAATCAAATATACTTAAGTTGATGTAATGATTCAGGTTTGGAGAAAAGAGAAATAATCGGAGAGATAGGAAGTAGAAGCTTCTACATGAGAAAGAAAGCTCATGAAACCGAAGTTTCGTTTGCCGGGATTACTCCGGTGAGAACTACCCTAATTCCGTCGTCGAATTTGATCGGATCGTGCATCGCTCAGTTTATCGGGAAAATCATAAGGAGAACGCGAAAGATATGGAACATATTGGTATGTGTGCAATGAGATAGACCAAAGTACACTTTTGAGCGTGGCACATAATATTTTTAGTTTGTGTTTTGCTCCAATCTCATCGAATAAGAGAACAATATATACTTTATGAAATTGTATCATACTGTTTAATGAGATGATTATAAGTATGTAACTATGTATATACTTGTGACCAGTAAATTATTGATTTATGAGATAAAAATCCAAAGTTGACTTTTGAAAGAAAATTGACTTTTGAATTATGATTTCACAAAAGAAAAGAAAAAAAAAACAATTATGATCAGAAACCTTCTAGTTGAGCTAGAGTCTTTAGGAAGTATCTTCTTCTTCTTCTTCTTCTTCTTCTGCGAATTGCAAAAACCCAAAGAGGTAACAGAGAAGTTGCCGTCGCTATCGCCGACGCCTCCACCACCAGTCGGCGATCACTCTATTTCTCACTCTGTCTCTTTCAAACTTCTCTGACTCCTTTCTCAAATTTCTCCCAAGCAACCTTCTTCAATCTTCCTCCTGTGGTTTTGTTTTTCGAAGGTTTGTTCCAATCTCCGATATAATCGTAAAGTCTTAGAATGGAAATTGAAATCTAGATTGATGTTTTAGGTAGTGGAACCCAGTTATCGAATCGTTGCATCGAGTAGTTTAGTAGAGTGGTTCTTGTGTTGGTTTCTGAAATGTTAGATTCTAGGCTGAGATTCTTCCTTGAAAGATGTGTAGTGCTTGGACAGGCAAAGCAAGTTCATGCACAGTTAGTAGTGAACCGCTATAAGTATCTTGAACCCATCTTGGTCCACCAAACTCTTCACTTCACTAAAGAGTTCTCTAGAAATGTTGTCAATTATGTCAAAAGAATTCTAAATGGGTTTAAGAGTTCAAAAGGTATGAATTCTTTTTCTTGGGGATGTCTTGTTCGGTTCTTGAGTCAGCATAGGAAGTTTAAAGAAACGGTTGGCGTGTACATCGAAATGCATTATTCTGGGATTCCTCCAAGTTCACATGCTATAACCTCAGTGTTGAGAGCTTGTGGTAAGATGGAGGATATGATTGATGGTAAGCCGATTCATGCTCAGGCTCTTAAAAATGGATTATGTGGTTGTGTTTATGTTCAGACAGGTCTGGTGGGTTTGTATTCTAGACTCGGTTACATTGAGATGGCAAAGAAGGTTTTTGATGATATTGATGAGAAGAACACAGTTTCGTGGAACTCGCTTTTACAGGGGTATCTGGAAAGTGGGAATCTAGATGAAGCTCGCGGAGTCTTTGACAATATTCCAGAAAAAGATGTTGTGTCATGGAATCTGATTATCTCGAGCTATGCAAAAAAAGGTGACATGAGCAATGCATGCTCTTTGTTTCTGACGATGCCTTTGAAAAGCTCGGCTACTTGGAATATTTTGATTGGCGGGTATGTGAATTGCAGGGAAATGAAACTAGCAAGAACCTATTTCGATACAATGCCCCAGAAGAATAGTGTCTCTTGGATTACAATGATTTCAGGGTACACAAAACTGGGAGATGTTCAGTCTGCTGAGGAGCTCTTCAGGCAGATGTCTAAGAAAGACAAACTCGTCTATGATGCCATGATAGCTTGTTATGCTCAAAACGGCAAGCCAAAGGATGCTCTGAAGCTATTCTCTCAGATGCTTGAAAGTAATTCAGATATTCAACCGGATGAGATCACACTCTCAAGTGTTGTGTCAGCTAATTCACAGTTGGGTGATACCAGTTTTGGTACATGGGTTGAGTCATATATAACTGAACGTGGAATCAAGATCGATGATCTCTTAAGTACATCTCTAATCGATCTTTACATGAAAGGCGGAGACTTTGCCAAAGCATTCAAATTGTTCAACGATCTAATCAAAAAGGACACAGTTTCTTACTCTGCTATGATCATGGGCTGCGGGATAAACGGCATGGCCACAGAAGCAAACCGTTTGTTTAGAGAGATGATCGAAAATAAGATCCCTCCAAATCTAGTAACATTCACTGGACTATTATCAGCGTATAGCCATTCAGGTCTTGTTCAAGAAGGCTACAAATGCTTTAACTCCATGAAAGACCACAACCTGGAACCCTCCGCTGATCATTATGGGATAATGGTGGATATGTTGGGACGAGCCGGGAGGCTAGAGGAGGCATATGAACTGATCAAGAGTATGCCGATGCAGCCAAATGCTGGAGTTTGGGGAGCGTTGCTTTTAGCCAGTGGGTTACACAACAACGTTGAATTTGGAGAGATTGCGTGCAGTCACTGCGTTAAACTCGAGACCGATCCTACGGGTTATCTTTCGCATCTTGCTAATATATATACGTCTGTTGGTAGATGGGACGATGCAAGGAATGTTAGAGACGGTATGGAAGAGAAGAAACTGCGTAAGACACTTGGGTGTAGCTGGGTTGAGGGTTCATATCATTGAGATCTCGGGGAATACGTATATTGGTTTCAGGCTATACAGATTTCGGTTTAGGATCATCAATCAACATCCGTGTGAATGGTAAACCAGAATGTGTAGCCGGTTAAGAGATTAGTGATCAGCTTCTACATCCAAGAGTAGAAGAAACCGAATAAAAAGTTGGAAAAATAACCTTACGTGACAAACCTACATCAGACCTAAACCTTGAGAGTCTGCCTGTGGAACAGAGGATTAACGAGTACTTTGAGAAAGAATCACGTTGATGTCATAAGAGAGCTTGTGTCGTGGATCAGAAGGTAAAGACGGTGTCCATGTACTGATTGGGAGAGAAGACGGTGTGGGACGGATGGTTTGATGATCAACAACATTCGAAAAGGTTGGCGTTGGAGAAGACATGATTAGCGTGTCATTGGCTAGCCCTGATGGACGTGTAGTAGGCAGTGGTGTCGCTGGCGTGCTGGTTGCAGCCACTCCTATTCAGGTTGTTGTAGGAAGTTTATTACCCGGCAGCAAGATCAGAGACCGAAGCAGCAGAATCACAACTTCATGTCGTCTCCAACGCCAATCACAATTGCAGCATGTAAACTGGAAAACAGTACCTTATGTTACCTTGAACTGTCCTTTCAGCTTAAAGACCACTCAACCATGAAATTATAGCACATACGACTGAAGAATAAAAACAAAATCTAGCCACTATGAAAGATACAGACAGTACACTACTACTGAATTCAATACCTGACCTTGAAACAAAATTTAGAAATTCTCTATCTTCAAAAGCATTAGTGTGGCTTCTTTAAAACTGAAATCAAGTCCAAAGCAGTGACTGACTCGCTGATGATCTATCAGTTACTGCTTTGGACTTAATTTCAATTTTAAAGGAAACCACTCTAATGCTTCACTAGACTGGTGATTAAAAAAAAAAAAAAACGGTGATTCGATTGTGTCAATCTCCCACATAAACGACCATCCACCACATCCAAAGTAATAAACTATATTTATAAGTATAAATTAAAATAATAACTAAACATATAAATACCCTTTTATCACAGATCATGCTTTGCATAGGCTTTAACATTAATATTGTACACGTTCATCTTCTTGAAGATTTGGTACTACTTTGGTATGAATTAGCTAAATCATAACAAAATAAAACCAAATCTTCAAAGAGATGAACGATATACAATATTAGTATTAAGGCCGTGCAAAGCAAAAACAAATTGGTCACAAAGAATTTTTCATCTACAAAGGTAACTCTATGTGTATGTATGTATTTAAGAAAATATATATAGTGTACCCTTTTTGGAGATAAAAAAATTATTTCTGATCAATTTGGTTAGCTTTCATCTATTTATATTGCTTTTGAAATTGTCATGTTTCCTAAATGGCTTAGCTAATTCACACCAAACTTTCAAGAACATGAACAATAGACAATATTAGTGTTAAGGCCCACGCAAAGCATGGGCGGTGATAAATGTGTTTTTTTTTGTGTTAAGTTATTATTTTGACAACTATAACTATAAGAATATAATTTCTCAGTTTATTAATTAGGATGTGGTGGATGGTTGTGAAGTACCTCTCTGATCGATCTTTTTACATGAAAGACTCTGCCCAAGAGAATGTGTAGCTGGCCGGTTAAGAGATTGGGGAACAAGATTCAATTTCTAAAGAGCGGAAGAAACCAAATAGAAAAGTAGGAATAACAATCCTAAGTTACAGACCAACATAACACCTAAACCTTGAGAGTCTGACATGTAGAGCCCTAATCTGAAAACCAAAATACAGAGGATCTAGAGTTCTTTAAGGAAGAAATCACGTCAACGTGATGTTAAAGTCATGAGAGAGCTTGTGTCTTGGATCAGAAGGAAAAGACGGTGTCCATGTATTGATCGGGAGAGTAGATGGCATGGGACGGATGTTTCGATGGTCAGCTACATTCGAAGAAGTTGGCATTAGTGGAGAAGAGATGAAGTTGTGGTTCTGCTGCTTCGGTCTCTGATCTTGCTGGTTTGTTCCACCAAAGAAAGTTCCTACAACCACCTGAATAGGAGTGGCTGCAACCAGCAAGCCAGCAACACCACCACCTACTACACGTCCATCAGGGCTAGCAAGCGACACGCTCATCCCGCCTGTTCTGCTTCGTGTCCCATCCGAGACACTAGGCATGAATGTTCCGGACAGTGACAATATCTCAAACCGACCCTTTAAAAACAGCATAAGCAACCGTCAAGATCAACATACATGAAAACAAAAAGCAAGGGACAGGCATTCCGGTTCGGTTGTTTCAATTTATGGTTACAATTAATAAAATTTGGATTGATTTCGGTTTGGTTGTTTGGTTACAGTCATTTTCATTTATCCTAAAGAGTGATTAAGATTGAAACCATACCTCATAGGTCAATGTACCGCCAGATGAATCAGGCTGACGAAGTGTAACACTCGAAACGACACCGTTTGCGCATAAAACGCAAATAGCTAGAGACCCTTGTTGAGAAAATGATATTATCCTCTTCGTTACGTCCTATAAAACCAAATTGCCCACTAAATCATTAACTACTCTAAAATTAAAATAAACACATTCTTAATCTCTATATATATTGTCCTAATTACCTCGCCTGCGTTGACCGTAATAATATGCGGCGTGAAATTAGCGGCGGCAGAGGAAGGAGCCCATTCACCTTCACAAGCACAACAATATCACCAAAAATCTCCTCAATAAACATGAAATTATTATTATACCGTATGTATATACGTATAGATAACCGTATATGTACGGACCAAAAGTTGTAATAAGAGGTCCCACTTGGAAGTAGAAGCTTTTTCTTTCTTTGCATGTTTTAACTTAAGACCCAGAAAGATCCCAAAAAATCTCTTTTAAACACTTTTTTTAAGTCACGAGAACTCAAGATTCAGTCTAAACGAAACATAGATTTTGACAAAAGATTAACCAAAAAAAGAAAAAAAAATTATTACCTAAATTCTCGACCTGGTACTTTGGTCTGATGAAGGAGCTTGGAGTTGCTGGTTTCATTTTGCCACGTTTCTCCGCTGTCGTCGAGAAATCGATGACGTGAGAAGTCGTTGGTGCGGCTGATGATATCGGATTCGGCGATAACGTCACCGCTGCTCCGTCGTGTCCGTACTTCCTAGGGCGTCCACGCCTCTTCTTTATCGGTCCGCTTGAGAAACCATCCATCGCCGCCGGCGGAGTAAAGGTGTTTTGCGGTGGAGGAAGAGGAGCGACGGAGGTGGGAGGTGGGTTTGAAGTTTCTGATCTCGGAGCCATGTGGAAGTCTGACGGCGCGTTGGATCTCACCACCGTAACGCCACCGTCGCTCCCGGTGGTTGTTTTAACAACTTCTCCGGTAGACTCCATATCTATAGCGATTACAAAAAAGAAAAAATCTTTTTGACAAACCTAAAATAGATTTGGGAAGAAGAAGATTTAATTTTTCCAAATCCAAAGCTTAAACCAAAAGAAGAACAAAATTATTATTTATAAAAAGGTTGAAAATCAGATTAAAAATCAAAGAGGGAGAAGAAATACATGAGATAATATTTTCTTGTATATATTATTTCTTAGAATTAAAGCTAGGAAAATTATTAAGATGGAATTAGGAAATGTTTGAGAGGAAAGTGAGGAATTTTAGATTTATTTATGCTGTGTGGTGTAGATGAAAAAAGAAAATAAATATTTTTTTGACAGCAATGAATATTTGATTTTGAATTTGGAAATTAAAAAAAAAAAAGACGTTTCCTTATATTTTAATATTATTTCAGGCTTTTAGTTCATTTCCTTCCTAACTTTTTCCTTGTCTGTCCGTTTAAATTTAATATTGAATAAAGTAATACGAAAAGAAAATGTATTGTTTTCGTGAAAAGGAAATGTATTTAATAGGGGCGTTATAATACAACTCACAATAATTTATATTTTACTTCGAGAAAATAATATCTTTTTGTCATATATAGAAATTGGATTTCGTGTTTTTGCTGGAATCCGATGGAGAAAATTACTAATAAATTAAAAGAGAAGAATAAATAATATAGTAAGTAAAAAAACGGAAAGTGGGTGATACTAATTTCTTTGTTTTAAATTATTTTTTAGTTGTTTTCTATTTTTAAAAGACACAAAGTTGGCCTGCAGATAAGACTTTTTTTTTTTTTGGTCATTCTTTTGCGGTGTTTTTATATCATTGTTGTTTTGGAATATATAGAAAATGATTTTTGCAAAAAGAGTAACGTAAAATACTAGACGACACAACTAATGTAAATATTGGCTTCTAAGTAAGTAATTTCACTTCTAAGCTAACCAAAAAAAAGAACGATTTGCATTTCCTCCAAAGTTTTATGTTGGTTAAGAAAGTCACAGTATTCCTTTTTAAAATCTAAATCAGCAAATTGTGTCGATTAACAAGTCTACTCGGAATTGTGTCTAAGATATATGTCATAATTTTGAAACTAAATCTTGAACTCCTTTAGCAAAAAAAAAAAAACTAAATCTTGAACTCAAAAAAAGAATCTAAATACAAACATTAAAACTCATCTCAAACTCTGAATAACATGTTATAATGTGCACATCTTTCAGAGTCATAATATTATGTCAAAGAGTTACAACTTGAACATAACTCACGAGTTCGGTAGATAAATTGTGATTAGGTAATTGTGCAACATGCAAGAATTATTAGTTGACAAGATTTTGTTTCTTAAATATAAGACCATGAGTTAATGGAATATAAGAAAAAAATATAAGACCATGAGTTTCTTTGGACAAAAAAAAAAAAAAAAAAAAAAAAAAATATAAGACCATGAGTTAATGGAAAGGGCCCAAATGTTATTAGTTTGGGCCTCATAAGCCTTATATGAAAATCCACTTACACTATTAGTTTGCTTTCATGAGTATATTACTATATTATGTATATATTGTATAACTAGGTTCTGAACCCGCGCGTAGCGCGGGTCTGTTTTAGTAATATTTTTTATTACTAATAATATTTATTGAAAATATGGAAATATATGTTTTTATTTGTCTACTTATTGTTAATAGTCTAAATTTTTGAATTTAAAATTAGCGGATAGTTCAATTAAATACACAACTAAAAAAAACTCTAATACAACTTTTATGATTTTATAACATTTATCAAAGGAATATGTTTTTGTTTAATTTCTTTCTTTA